CTTCATATCCAGATCTGAAACTTGTGGACAGGGAGGGCAGACTGTACTATACCATTTTATATAACAAGAATTTGTTATGCAGCAGAGGGAATACATACAAAGAAACTCTCACATGGATTTTGTCTCAGAGAACTCAGAGTCCCATCAATGAGAGAATAAAGTCACTAGTGCAATAAAGAGACTATATGGGAAGGGCAGGTAGTTCAGTGAAGGTGTAGCAGGAATAGCCATATGAAGAAGTGAGAGTTGTGCCAGATCTGGGCTTATCCTTTAAAAGCACAGCAGCCCGACTCTACAAAAAAAAAAAAAAAATATATATATATATATAAATATTAGCTTGGCATAGTGGCACATGCCGGTAATCCCAGTTACTCTGGAGGCTGAGGCACAAAAATGGCTTGAACTCGGGAGGCAGAGGTTGCAGTGAGCTGATATCATGCCACTGGGGAAAAAAAAAAAAAAAAAAAAAAGGCTGTGCGCAGTGGTTCACACCTGTAATCCCAGTATTTTGGGAGGCTGAGGAGGGTGGATCGCTAGAGATCAGGAGTTTGAGAGCATCCCGACTAACATGGAGAAACCCCATCTCTACTAAAAATACAAAATTAGCCTCGTGTGGTGGTGCACGTCTGTAATCCCAGCTACTGGGGAGGCCAAAGCAGGAGAATCGTTTGAACCCGGGAGGTGAATGTTGTGGTGAGCTGAGATTGTGCCACTGCACTATAGCCTGGGAAACGAGTGAAATGCCATCTCAAAAAAAAAAAAAAAAAAAAAAAAAGGCATAGTAGCTTTAACTGAAGGCTCCTGGAACCCAGACTCATCAGGTAAAAAGTGTGAATACCCTGCTGAGAGATCACACAGAAATCCCTGACACTACAAGCAGAGGGGAAGAGCCAGCTGAGCCCATCCTTTAAGCGGTCTTTGACGAGGCATGTGAATAAAGGAGGCATGTGAATGAAGGAAGCATTGTGGAAGTGGATCCTTCAGCACTAGCCACCTCTGCTGACAGCATGTGGACCAGAGAAAAATGGCCCAGGTTCTCCTGACTCATAAAAATGTAAGTTTTGGGGTGGTTTGTTATATATTGACAGATAACTGAAACAGAGCTCAGATTTTATTTTCTAGCCAATGGGAAGCAATGCAATGACAGCTGTGCTTTAGAAAAATCAACCTGGCTGCAATGTGTAAGATGGCCTGTAGGAGACAACTGGTGCCAGGAAACTCAGGAAAACGAGAGCCAACAGAACCTAGGGGGAGGAATAAAAATAAAAGACACTGACTGCAGAGTTAGAGTAAACGGGATTTGTGTATGTAATTGACCATCAGGGCAAGAAGAAAGGAATCAAAGTTGACCTAGATGCTGAGATCAGGTGACCACAGGATGGTGATGCTATTAAGGATGAACAAAGCAGATGCTGAGTTCAGAGAAAAAAAATTAAAACTGTATTAACTTTTATGTGGACAAAATAAGGTAAACTAACATCCATTATAACGGATATAATTATGCAAACAATTAGTCTAGAGTTTAAAAGCTCTAAGAAACCTATTATCGGTGTATTTTCACAATAGTAAAGATTTTAAATCAAAAATTAAATTCATAATCTTCAGTGGGCAGGCTAAATAGTTTAACATAAAACATCAAGATTTTCCTCAACTGTCCATTGAAAATTGGTTTAGAAACTAGGACAGGTAAGTACATCCCTCATGTGTGGAGGGCAAAATCAATTTTTCAACGATCATTTTAGAACTGAATCTTCTGTGACCAAAGGACCTGCTTCTGCTTCTAGCTCAAGTACTGCCTTACAGGCTCCATCCCTTGACACATTTTCATATAGTATTATTTCTTTTAAACCACAAATCTCACCATGGTGGAACCGAAATCCTTACCACAGCCTACAAAATGCTACCATCACGGGACCCTGCTGATGTAGCTGACCTTACCTTATACCTTCCTTCCCCCCAGCCCCTGCATTCACTATTCAGTAGTAAGAATGGTTCAGCTCCTAGAACGTATCATGACATGCTCCTTCCTGCCAGTTCAGGCTCTTCCCTAGCTGACCTACTCTTCTTCACTGCCTCTTGGACCAAATTAACTAGATTCATCACTGGGTTCTTTGCTTTCTCCTCAGAGAAAAATTGTTCCTGACTATCCCCTAGATGTTCCTCCCCTGGTTCAATCATATAACCTACCTCATTTCTTCAAAGTACTAACAACAATTTCATATACTTCTTTAGGTAACTGTGTGCAATTTCCATCTCCTCTGCCAAAACTTAAGTTCCAAAAAGGCAGAACCAAAGTGTTACCTGATCCCAAAGCCCCAGGACATAGCACACTGGCTGGCACACAGTAGATGCTCTTCAACAAATATACTTTCTGAATAAATAGTACTCACAGGTATTGCAGGATAATCAGTGGCAATGAACTCTGGGTCCAAACTGAGGTCAAGTTACACACTGACCCTTACAAGTTTTGGGACTAGATATTTTTCAGCACCTCAGGCTTTTTTTTTTTTTTTTAATTATTATTTTTGAGATGGAGTCTCACTCTGTTGCAAAGGCTGGACTGCAGTGGCGATCTCGGCTCACTACAACCTCCGCCCACTGATTGAAGCGATTTTCCCCACCTCCACCTCCATGGTAGCTGGGATTACAGGCTCGAACCACCAGGCCTGGCTAATTTTTAATTTTTGTATTTTTAGTAGAGACGGGTTTCACCCCGTTGGCCAGGCTAGCATGGAACTCCCGACCTCAGGTGATCCACCCGCCTTGACCTCCCAAAGTGCTGGGATTAGAGGCGTGAGCCACTGCGCTTGGCCTTATTCATTTATCTTTTTTTGAGACGGATCTCGTCTGTCCTCACCCAAGCTGAAGAGCAGTCGCATGATCTCGGATCACTGCAACCTCCGCCTCCCCTCCTGGATTCATGCGATTCTCGTAATTCGGCCTCCTGAGTAGCTGGGATTACAGGCACGCACCATCACACCTGGCTAATTTTTGCATTTTTAGTAGAGATGGGCTTTCACCATGTTGGCCCGGATGGTCTTGAACTCCTGACCTCAGGTCATCCACCTGCCTTGGCCTCCCAAAGTACTGGGATGACAGGCATGAGCCACCACGGCTGTCTAGGTTCTATTATTTTTTAACAATAATGCAGATATAATGATGTCAGATATGACAATGAATTATGTCTCTAAAGATCTAGAATATAGTAATGTCTAGAATTTTATAAACACATTAAATATTAGCTCGTAGTAGAGTTAGCAAACAGCAGCTCTCTCAACGATCCTATTCATTAACTTTCAATCTGCCTCACCCATACCTAGCCCTTCTTTATCAGATTTCTCCACAGAGGATTCAGGGGTTCTCTTTTGTTAGCTCCTGCTACTCTTATCAGGGTAAAAATCTAAAGCCATGAATGAGGTTTACCAGGGGGTCCAAAATCTGGCCCAGACTCTCCAGACATTTCCTCAAATCCACAACTACTCCCCACATCCTAGGTGCAATAAATTATGAAATGCAAAACCCAAGGCAAAACCAGGCCATTTCTTAGTCTTATTCCTTAAGGCGAGCTGACTAAATTGATGTGTTTCATAAAATCTTCTCGGTCCTCTCTCCTTTTTCAGCGGGCAAAGAATGTTCTGGCAGAACGTGGTGGCTCAAGCCCATAATTCTCGCACTTTGAGAGACTGAGGATCACTTAAACCCACCAGCAGGGCAGCTCCCCCCAACCCCCCACCCCAAAAATTAGCCGGGCACGGTGGCGCGTGCCAGCAGTCCCAGTTACTAGGAAGGCTGAAGTTGCAGAATACCTGATCCTGGAAGGCAGACGTTGCAGTGAGCTGAGATGGCGCCACTGGACTCCAACCTGGGCGACAGAGCGAGACTCTGTCTCAAAATACAAAACAAAACAAAGCAAAAAAAAAAAAAAAAAAAAAGTTCTGGTCGAGCGCGGTAGCTCACATCTGTAATCTCAGCATTTTGGGAGGCTGAGCCGGAAGATCACTTGATTTCGAGACCCGCCTGGCCAACGTGGTTAAACCCTGCCTCTAGGAAAGATACAAAAATTAGCCGGATGTGGTGGCGAGCGCCTGTAGTCCCTGCTACCAGGGAGGCTGAGGCAGGAGAATCGCTCGAACCCGGGAAGCAGAGGTTGCGGTGAACCGAGATCGCAACACAGCACTCCACCATGGGAGAAAGAGCAAGACTGTCTCAAAAAAAGAAAAAATAACAATAAAAGAAAAAGAAAACGAGAAAAAAGAACGTTCTGTCGGCACGATCAAAGTACCTAAGACAACTGCTACCTAGGCCCTTCGGCATTCACAGCCCAGGCGGATGTGTCAGAAATTTCTGCAACCCGCACGCCGCGCACGCGCCGGGATTGGCTGCAAGTAGCCCAAAGTCTTGGATCCCCGTTCCACCGGGACGCGGGCCGCCACGCGGAAACAGCAGCCTCGCTTCCTGCCCAGCGCCCGGGCACCCGAGCCGGGCAACCCCCAGCGCCCCGCAGAAGGGTCTGACGCACTTGCGGTGCCCTCGCCAGTGCCAAGTGACAGTCACCAACTTTCGCGGAATAACACCCGCTCCAAATATGAGGGGATAAGTGGAAAACCGCCGCCCGCCGGGGCTGGGGTTCACAGGCACGGGCCGCCTCCGCGGCGGCCTCGGGCCCCGGGGAGGAAAGCGCGGTCTCCCGGGCTGTCGCCCTCGCGCAGCGGTCCTGACGGGCCGGCCCGCGAAACTTCGCGAAGTGGCGGGAGGAGGTCGCCCGGCCTCCCAGCGGCTTTGTCGCTCCCGCCTCGCCACTACACGGGGCTCGGAGACGCCCAGCCCAGTCCCCGGGCCCGATCCTGCCCGGGCGTCGGCCCGCGCCCCTCAGCTCCGCGGCCCTCACGGCCCGCGCCCCCGCCCCCACCCCCGGGGCTCCACAGAGGCGCCCAGCGGAGAGGCCGCCTCGCTTCACAAACCTGCCCAGGAGCCCGAACGCGCCCGCGGCCGACACTCACTCGCCACTCAACTCCCCGGCTAGCCAGGCGGGCTCGGCGGCCTTTGCTGCCGCGCCACTTACTCCTCAGAAGCTGCAGCTGTGAGCTCCGTCGCCGCCGCTGAGGCAGCCGCTGCACTCCTTCCGGCCCTGCCGCGGCGTCACCTCGCGCCTGCGCACAGCGCCCCCTCCCGACTAAGGACAGGAAGAACCATAGAGGCACGCCGGGTGCTGGGGAGGAGGGACCCGGGGGCTCACCATAGAGAGGTGATACGCATCCGGGCTCTCCGCCTGCGGAGACTTGACTCCCCCACGAGGCGGGAGGACGAAAGGAACAGAGACCCCCATCCCCGACCCCACAAGGAGCCGCCACCTCCCCAGAGCTGAAAAGGGTATGCAGCACGTGGTTGTGGACTCGTTATCTACTTATTTGCCCTCATTCCTTTGCAAGTCATTCATTCATTCTAAAAATATATTCTGTGGATTTCCTGTGGGCCAGGCACTCTTCTAGGAATTGGAGAAATTAAGAGTAAAGTGGGTTCCATGGCCCAGCGCAGTAGCTCACACCTGTAATCCCAGAATTTGGGAGGCTGAGGCGGGCAGCTCACTTGAGGTCAGGGGTTGGAGGCTAGCCTGGCCAACATGGTGAAACCCCATCGCTACCAAAAATAAAAAAATTAGCCGGGCGTGGTGGCGGACTAATTCCAGCTACTCAGGAGGATGAGAGTAAAATCACTTGAACCTGGGAAGCGGAGGTTGTAGTGAACTGAGATTGTGTCACACTGTCCTCTAGCCTAGGCAGCAGAGCAATACTCTGTCTCGGGGCAGGGGTAGCGGGGTGGGGGGAAGAGTAAAATGTGTTCCTGGTCTCAGGAAGTTTAGGTTTTAGTGGGCAAGTGAATAACTGACTAAAATACTGCTTCTGCTGGGCACAGCAGCTCATGTCCATAATCCCAGCACTTTGGGAGGCCAAGGCAGGAGGATCTCTTGAGGCCAGAAGTTCAAGACCAGCCTTGGCAACATAGCAAGACCCTGACTCAAAAAAATTGCTGGCCTGGCATGGTCACTTGCTCAACACCTGTAATCCCAACACTTTGGGAGGTAGAGGTGGGAGGATGGCTTGAAGCCAGGAGTTCCAGACCATCCTGGACCGTATAGTGAGACTCCATCTTTACAAAAATAGAAAAACTAGCTGGGCATGGTGGTGCAGACCTGTAGTCCCAGCTACTCAGGAGGCTGAGGCAGGAGGATTGTTTGAGCCCAGGAGTCTGAGACTGCAGTGAGCTGTGATCGCACCACTGCACTCTAGCCTGGGTGACAGAACAACAGCCTGTCTCAGAAGAAACAAACAAAAACCAAACAGTAATGGAAATGGGAGGAGCAATAATCTTGATGCAGCAATGAGGGTTCCTTCTCCAAGACAGTAGAGCGTGGCTTATGGGGCTTGTACGGGACAGAAAAAGGCCACTCCTGAGAGTACTTTGGGGAAGCAGTTCCTGAGGTATTAGTCATTGTCCTAAAGTTAATAGTCATGTTTCAGTGAAGTAGAAATTAAGGGCTGCGGCTGAGCATGGTGGGTCACGCCTGTAATCCCACTACTTTGGGAGGCTGAGGCAGGTGGATCACCTGAGGTTAGCAGTTTGAGACCAGTCTGACCAACATGGAGGAAACCTCTTCTCTACTAAAAATATAAAATTAGCTGGGTGCTGTTGTGGGCTCCTGTAATCCTAGCTACTCAGGAGGCTGAGGCAGGAGAATCGCTTGCACCCATGAGGCAGAGGTGGCAGTGAGCCACGATTGTGCCATTGCACTCCAGCTCAGGCAACAAGAGCAAAACTCCATCTCAGGAAAAAAAAAAAAAAAGGAAGAAGTTGAAGGGCTGCTTACAGAACAGGACAAGGATCTAAGGATCTTACAGATGTCGGGCCCTGAATTAGAGGGTGTAGTGCACGGGATGCATTAGAGGGTGGGCGGGAGAGAGAACTTCAGACAGACACTTTTCTGGGGATGAGATCCCGGAATAACCTGAAAAGTGAAACAAGCAGATTGGCCTTGATGGGCTTATCCTCCATGCCGGTCCTCTTAGGGGAGGTGGATAATCGCTGTCAGTTCCAGCCTCCTTCTTAGGATAGTCTTCATAAGCCCTTTGAGATATTGGAAGAAGGCAGTATTGGAAGGAGAGCTTGGTGATCTTAGGACTGCGAGCTTCTTTCCAGAAAGAACCTTGGTGTCACATCCAAGGCAGGTATGGTTGAGTAACCACTCTGAGTCTAGAATTTTTTATTTGTTCAGGCTCTTTGGAGACTCTGACTCAGACATGACAGCGATGAGAAGAGACTTTATGTATGTGTGTATGTATGTATATATGTATGTATCATGTATTTATTTTTGAGACAGGGTCTCCTGTCACCCAGGCTGGAGTGCAGTGGCGCGGCCTTAACTCACTGCAACCTCTGCTTCCCAGGTTCAACTGATTCTCCTGGCTCAGCCTCCCAAGTAGCTGGGATTACAGGCACCCACCACCACACCCAGCTAATTCGTAAAATATTTTTTGTAGACACGGGGTTTGACCAGGTTGGCCAGGCTGGTCTCAAACTCCTGACCTCAGGCCACCTGCCTGCCTCGGCCCGAAGTGCTGGAATTACAGGTGTGAGCCACCAGGCCTGGCCTTTATTTTGAAGTTTAATTTAAAAAATATTAATAGATAGCCGGGTGTGTTGATACACGCTTGTAGTCTCAGATACTCTGGAGACTGAGGCAGGAGAATCACTTTAACCCAGGAGGTGGAGGTTGCAGTGAGCCAAGATTATGCCACTACACTCCAGCCAGGGTAACAGAGCAAGACTCCATATCAAAAAAAAAAAAAAAAAAAAAAAAAAAGAATTAATAGAAATGGTAGCTCACACCCGTAATCCCAGCACTTTGGGAGGCTGCGGTGGGAGAATCACGAGGTCAAGAGATTGAGATCATCCTGGCCAACATGGTGAAACCCCCATCTCTACTAAAAATACAAAAATTAGCTGGGCATGGTGGCGGTGTGTACCTATAGTCCCAGCTGCTCCAGAGGCTGGGGCGGGAGAATCACTTGAACTCGGGAGGCGGAGTTTGCAGTGAGCTGAGGTTGCACCACCACTGCACTCTAGCCTGGGCTACAGGAGCGATTCCATCTAAAAAAGAAAGAAAGAAAGAAAGAAAGAAAGGAAGGAAGGAAGGAAGGAAGGAAAGAGAGAAAGAAAGAAAGAAAGAAAGAAAGAAAGAAAGAAAGAAAGAAAGAAAGAAAAAGAAAGAAAGAAAGAAGGAAGGAGTCTTGCTCTGTTGCCCAAGCTGTTCTCAAACTCCTGGCTTCAAGCAGTCCTTCCGTCTTGCCTTTAAACTGCCACGGCTGGCTGTGAAATTTTTATTTATAAAATGGGAATTTTAAGATACTATCTATTGCCCAGTATTCTTGCAAGGATGAAATGGGATCTTGTATGAATGGAAAAGCTCTCATAGGAGTTGTTTACATGTTGTTGGTGTCTTAAGCATTTTCAGAGTCATAAAGACAATTATTCTATCTCTGCGTATCTCCCAGAGGAAGCTACTCCCTCCTTCTAGGTTGCTGGAATCAATCTGGTGATTTTTGAAGGCTTTTTTTTTTTTTTTTTTTGATGGAATCGCTCCTGTAGCCCAGGCTGGAGTGCAATGGCATGATCTTGGCTCACTGCAACCTCTACCTCCCAAGTTCAAGTGATTCTCATGCCTCAGTCTCCCGAGTAGCTGGGATTACAGGCATCTGCCATTACATCCACCTATTTTTTTGTATTTTTAGTAGAGACAGCATTTTACCATGTTGGCCAGGCTAGTCTCGAATGCCTGACCTTGGGTGATCTCCCTGCCTTGGTCTCCCAAAGTGCTGGGATTATAGGAGTGAACCACCGTGCCTGGCCTTGGTTTTTGTTTTATTTTGTTTGCTTTAGAGTTAGGATCTCACTCTGTCACCCAAGCTAGAGTGCAGTGATGCAATCGCAATCATAGTTCACTGTAGCCTTGACCTCCCAGGCTCAAGCGATCCTCCCACCCCAGCCTCCTGAGTAGCTGGGACTACAGGTGTGTGCCACCACACCTGGATAATTTTTTAATTTGTTTGTATAGATGGGCTCTCAATATGTTGCTCAGGATGATCTCAAACTTTTGGCCTCAAGCAATCCTCCTGCCTTGGCCTTCTAAAGAGTTGAGACTATAGACTTGAGCTACAGCACCTGGCCTGTTTTTTTGTTTTTTGTTTTTTTTTGTCTTGATGTTAAACAGCACAAGGAATCAGAAACGGCAAGATGTCCACCTGCAGACTAAACTATTGTCAACAAGTGATGTTTTGCTGTTTTCCAGGGAAGAAGCATGAAAGTTCTATCTATGAAAATCCATATCATCTGTGCTGGCTGTAATTCCATGCAGTTATGGCCAAAGGCGTGAAACATGCACTCACCCCTGAGCCTGCCGGAGAGCCGAGGCTGGAACTCACACTCCCCTGTGAGTCATCACCGTGCTGCTTCATTTCATTTTCTGGCTACCGTTAGTTCAATGTGCATGTGACCTGTGAAACCATTTACGGTAGTGGAGGACCACCATTATTCACAATTTGCACATCATCATTTTGTTCGCAAAAGCTGTCATCAGCCTTATCTAGATGAAGGTGTGCTGGTCTTGTCATAGAGGAAATTATTCCTGAACTCATTCTACTTTCAGAAGCAGTAATTTTCTGCCATTTTGGCCCATTATCCTGTTAAAAAAAAAAGTCAGTGTTATTCAGGTGCAATTTATATACGGTACAAGGCACCCAGTTTAAGTGTACCTTTCTCTCAGTTTTGACAAATTTATACACCCTCGTAACCACCCCACAATCAAGATAGAGATCATTTCCATCACCCCAAACTATTCCATAACCCCCATCCCTGGTGCTAGGCAACCACCTGCTTTTTGGCACTTTATTTATTTATATATTTTGAGATGGAGTTTTGCTCTGTCTTCCAGGCTGGAGTGCAACAGTACAATCTTGGCTCACCACAACCTCTGTCTCCTGGGTTCAAGTGATTCTCCTGTCTCAGCCTTCTGAGTAGCTGGGATTACAGGAACCTGCCACCACGCCCAGCTAATTTTTTGTATTTTTATGTTATTTTATTTTTGGCAGGAAGTCTCAGTCTGTCGCTCAGGCTGGAGTGCAGTGGTGTGATCTTGGCTCATTGCAAACTCTGCCTTC